ACCTCTCCTCTCTTTCATCCACATCTCTGGCTCCCTGAATGCTGCCAGCTCCCCCGGAGTAAATCTAACAGTATGTAGAGTGGTGAGTGGTGCCAGTCTGGACTCTCACACGTTGGCATCGCTGCGCCAAGTTAAACTTGTGCAAATCAAAATTCAGTATTTGGCTTGTTTTTAACATCCTGTCTTTGATGCTCCTGTCAAGTAGTTTTTTTTTTCTCCACAACTTCACAGCACAGAGGTGAAGGTGATATGTGGCTCTGGTTGTAAACACACTGTAAGCTGGACATTGCTGATCTGTACACACACACACACACAGAAAAAAGATGGCACATGTGCTGGCCAGATGTGGCTGCTATTGTTATATTTGCTTGGCTGTGGTGAGTGAAATCCATTTAAAACCTCATCCTCTAACGGGAGAAAGTATGAATGAATGAATTCCCCCTTGAGCTGAAAAACTCCACGAGGACTTTTACCTCAAAGTATGAGTAAAAGCTGTAGAATTTCCACATTGTAGTGGTTTGGCCAAAACCACAGACCCACATGGTGGTTCATTCACAAATACTGAGCCTTAGGTGGTGTGGTGGGTACTGGATTGTCATCCGTTCTTCAAAGTGGAAATCTTTGCTAAGACTTCTTAATAAGTCACAAATTAGTGACGTGTGCGTTAATACTCAGAGGAAAGACTGGACTGTTCCACAAATGCAGCGTCCTGGCTCGGTCCGTGCAGACGTATGGCCAATTATGACCACTCCGTGCAGCAGGATTTGCTCGCAGACAGGATCTGGCTTGAAGAGGAGCTACAGTGCTCAGGATCAACCCGGTGGCCTGGAACTTTTTACTGACTTGCAGTGGCTGCGGTTGGAATGAGAGCCAATGCCAGGCTTATTTCTGGTCATTGCCAACTAGAGTTTGTTTTATTTTATATTTCTATTTGTTTAACAGCGGGAGTCAGGATTAATGACACTGACTTTGACCTCGTGACCCTAAATTAGAGCGATGCTGCTTTTCATCACACCCGAGGAATGCGCTGTAAACAGCCCTGCTCTTCTCCACGGCTCAGGAATTGCATGAAGCATTTTACATGCATGTACAGTTAAAAGGACAATTTGACGTGCTGAGGTTTATGAGTGAGACGACAGGCAGAAGCAATGAAAGAGTCAGACGAGCGGCTCTGTGAAACTGCAGTTGAACGAAATGCTCGGTATGCTAACGTGCGAGTATAAAATTTACCATCCATACCAAGTACAGACTGGAAATATCATTAGTGCTGCAGGTATTTGGTCAGAAACCAAATTGAAATGTGAAAGTTTGACCTGTTAGATAAAAAGCTAATGAATGCCTTCACCACATACATCAATCCAATAGATCTAAGCCTCAAAATCTCAAGTGCAAATCTCACAGTGGCATTAGGAGAAGTCCTCTTCAACTTGTGGAAACCACGAATGTCTCAGTGTACGTAGTCGACGCTGAGATGTTTCACGAGTAAAAACTTTATCTGGTCGCGGTATAGGAGCAGTCGCAGAGCAATCTCACGGCAATCAATCTAACAGATGTCAAGACATTTCGCTAACGGCAGGTCGGGGAATCACGAAAGTCAGAGGGATTCATCCTCAGCGGACGATGAATGTCTGCACAAAATTTCATGGCCATCAATCTCGTAGTTGCTGAGATATTTCAATCTGGATCCACTGACAGACTCGACTAGCGCGAGAGCTGCTAGCGTGGCTAATAGCGTTTCCTCTGCGATGACTCTTGCGGCGCTTCAGGCATCAGATTGAACCCCACTTCACAGCTTATCCATATAAGCGATGGTGACAACCGTGCTGACAATAGGGGCGGAGCGGAGTGGGGTATTTGTCAAACTGTTGGACAATCTACATTAGAGGCCCTGTCTTTACAGAGGAAATATAAGGACTGAAATGTTTCACAACACATCGAATATAATACAGCTGCACATCCCAGCAGGACAACTAACCTCATGAATCAATAGCCGCTCTCCAACATCATATATAACATAGACAGCCATCAGCTGGGGGACACTTAATCTCCACGCTTGCAGTTTTTCAAGAGCGCTTGCGGCTGTAAGCTTCTGCTTGTGTCTGACCTCAGCTGTACGTACGGACAGTTATATCACTATCAAATCAAAACATGTGGTGGCGGTCCTGTTTCTGATAGAAGAGTGCATTTTAAATGAGACCCTTTCATGTACGTGTGGCCGAATATACAAGATGTTCGGCATGTTCCTGTAGCATCCCGGCTTCGGTGTTGAGAGCCAGGTCTCAGCACTTAAATCACAGTGAATTGAGAGGAGCAACAGAGAATCTGTGAAATATCAAGAGATGGGGGGAAAAAATCTCTTTAATCAGCAGCAGTATCCTATCCATACATTCCTGTGCTGCACTTAGTTGCCAGACCATTGTCAGCACTGTGATGTGCATTTCTTGCAGCTGTTTTCTCCATAATCCTCAACAACGTCAATTGCAGAACCACACTGTCACCAGTCATAAAGGGAGCCAGTTCAGACACTGATAGGGCAACTGCAGAAAATACAGCTGAGGCAGAAATTCCCCCCAAAAGCCGAACAGCCAAGGTCATTTCAGTGGTCAGCCGTTGTGGACGGAAGAAAAGGAGCTCCTCTTTCAATCTGCTCACTCTGGGGGAAGAATTTGCATGTGTGCATACGGTCAGACGTGATGTTTGCCAGGGTTTGGACTGAGGGCTGAGGAATCTTTTGCATGTAGCCATGCTGTACAGTAAAGAGTAAACTTCCTGGGTCCAGGCCTGCTGCTGGAGCGATACTCTCCTGTCCTTCAACAACCTTGATTAGGATTGGCCTCTAAATTGGCCCAATCATCACAGATGATAAATACCTGCAGCCAATCCAGTTGGCAGTTAATCAGCGGTGTCCAATCAGGTAATGAGGACCTGCATGTTGGAATGGAAAGCAGACAACCCCATGGCTGTTTAACAGGAAGGAGGGAGAGTGGTCTTGTTCTAGAGACGCAGAAGGCGTGCTACGTTTGTGTTGTCTGCCTTGAACAGATCACTGCCTGCGGACAATTACCTTTGATCAGAGAAATTGATGGACATCTCAGGAGCAGCCTGACTCAGAAATGGGAAATGAGGCACTGCGTTTTCGATCATGTAAATGCTTTGGTTGAGGAGAACCACCCATAAATTGACTCCCCCCCCCTCCGGGGAACTTGGCAACCCTGAACCCCAAAACCAAACTACGGTCAGGTCTGGAGATGTTTATGGAATAGTACATGGAAATTTGTCAGAGAAACATGTTTTCCCAGGGAGTTTGTATCATCAGTTGAATGTACAAAAATGCACAATATTGTTACTGAACGGTCTCCCACAGGTTCTCCGGGGACGCAGGACCACTCCAACCTGGTACATTACTCTTAGTGAGTGCCAAAAGGATGACTTTCTGATTTGTGGTCCCTCTGTAGCAGGCATTCCTGGGGGAAATTTGATAGAGACCATTATGCAAATCCACAGGTGCATGCCAAGACCAAATAACTGGACTCCTGCCTCCAAGTACTTCAAGATGCCTTTCTGCAGGCTCCTGATAGTGTTCAGACCACAGTGTGAGGAGACACGCCAGGAACACGTGGGTGTAGTGTGGAAGGCCTTGAGGCCTGCATGTCCACAGCCTTCAGGCAAAGCAATTAAAAATCTGCTTTTACTCGAGTCTATTATCAGACACTGAGTCAGGAAGCAAACATTCAGTCATGCAACAGCGTACTTCTATCACATCCTCTGTGCTGATGTGGGTGTCAGCTCTGCCACCATCTCCGTATGTTGAAAGGCAAAGGGAGCCGTTGTTTTCTGTTTCACTTTCAGCAGTTAGGTATTATCACATTCCATACACAGCACAGCTCTCAAATAAAGGCTGACTTCATTAAGCCTACAGCAGGTTTGAATGAACTTTTGTTTATTTTCATGCGTTCGTGAGGTATGTGTGAGTGTGTGGGGAAATGAGACATGTCTGTAATGGAGGGGATTCAATCTGGCCTGCTCTCTGCGTCGAAGACTGGAAGTGTGGAGGGTCAGCTGAAGACAGGAAAGCCCCTCATCATTCATTGCGGCTAAGCTGTCCGAAGGGATGACAGAGGAAGAGGCATGCGTCCTTCACTCGCCGTGTGCTCGCGTCACATGTACAGCCAGTGCCCCCTTGTGTCGAAAACATGCACTCATCTGGCTACGAGCATTTTTATATATTTGCATCGTTACGATTAAAATCATCCATCCATCCATCATATGTACCTGCTTTTTCCCATAGAGAGCTGCAGGAGGCTCCAGTCTTTCCCGGCTGACGCTGGGCGAGAGGTGGGGTACAGCATGGACAGTCCATCGCAGGGCAGAAAGACAAACAACCACATGCATTCACACCTACAGCGAATTTAGAATCACAAATGAAGCTACAGTGCATGTGTTTGGACTGTGGGAAGAGGCCAGAGCTCTGACAGAAATCACACACAGGCACAGGGAGAACATGCAAACAGTGCAAAGAAAGACCCTCAATGAATGGCAGGTTTGGGCCTTGAACTTTCTTAAACGAAGCGACAGTGTGCTGCTCCCAAAAGAAATCAATCTGAATCATTTCTGCCTTCATTGCACCAAAAGCTACACCCATCCCAATGCTCTAACTAAAACCAATAAACTGGCACTCCTGGTGTTGTTGTTTCAGAACACAGTATTGATTTTTTTCTGCCATAAACCCAAAGTCATTTGATTGAAGTCTTGCATTAGGAAAATATTGGCATCAATGAAAATGCAATACTCAAGTAAAGAGAAGAACACTGAACCTAATCCGTGTTATGTTGAGAGCACCTTCCTAAATACTCTCTGAGAATTTCTTACCACAGTTTAAAAACCGCTGGTCTGCAGCAAATGCCATCTTGAAGTCTAAATAAAGGTTTGAAGGTGTAAAAATGGCTAATTATGCTGCTAAATGGTAAAAACAACCCAAGTACAATGCACAGAAATCAAAATCAGATGATAAGAATTTATTCCATCATTTTTTATTCCCATAAACAAAGGACCTGCAGTCCAGAAAATCTCAAACATTCATCAGCAGAGGCTTGCCATTAAAAAAAAAGAAAAAAAAAAAAGAGAGTACCCACGGCTTCCAAGTCATAGGCAAATATTTCACAATATCTACATTGCTAAAAGTCGCACTCAGGCCATCTAACCCCCCAAAAAACAATCCAAGCATAAAACAAAAAGCAGAAGATGCTCATGAGACTCAGAACATGAAACAAGAACATGAAGCTACAGGACAGACCTCCTTCATATCCGTTCAGATCGGTCGTGTCATACGTGTCACACCACCTTCGTGTCTGATAAATACGATCTCAGCCATTGGTATCGGTGCTGAAAACGCGACCCTCAGTGAAGCGTTTTCAGAAGCACTCGCTGTCCTCTTCAGTGCGTGAGGTCAACATTGCACAACCCAAACAAACACAAATCCATAAATCCTCTTAAAAACCTGTTAACACTAAAAGGCCAGCAACAGCGTGGACGCTCCGTAGATGCAATTAATGCTAAACCTGCAACACCTACCTACTGTCTTTGCCACTCAGTAAGTTAAATCTCTAAGTGGCCCAGGCAAAACTTTTACTGCCGACTGTGAGAATACAGTGCATTCAGAGTGCTCTGTGTAGGGAGGGGAGGGAGGTGAACGTATTCAAATCAGAAATACTACTAAGAATTATCTACTGACGTTTCCTTTGAGCTTTAAGACTAAACATCACTTTTCCTAGATGCTCTACAAAGACTCTGGCAGCACACACTATTACAAAATGGCTAATGATCATGTAAACTCTGGAACAGCGAAGGAATTGCTACAAAATTATGAACAGAAACAAACAAACGAGGAAAAAAAAACCAAAACAATTCTGTTGGCTCAGGAATATTGACAACACTAACAGCATAAAAAATAAATAGTTTCACAACGACATAATGAAAAAAACAAAACAAAACAAAACCGGGACATGATCTCCACAGATACAATGCTTTGCTTGAGTTTATAGAGGATGCGGAGGGTGTATGGCTAAAGGTTGGGGCTGGAAGGAGGCAACTATGAGCAAACTGCATGTCTTTGCCGTACACATGCATGAAAACGCACACGCACACCTGTGTCCGAGGATGCATAGGTGGTACAGGAGATTCTGAGGTAAACCCATAACAGGCTGTGAATGAGAAAGTAAAAAGCATACAGCATATATAACAACATGTTTTGTTATATATGGGCTCTCCCTCAACATCCAATCAACACTCACGTCCACAGTGACCCCTGCATGTACTAATAGAGATGTCAGAGTATATCTTATTATTGTCGACTATGTGTCCGTCACCTACGCACCTCTCTGGATACAATCAGAGGCAAAGGGTATGAATAAGGCAGGTTATAAAACATAAACAAAACAAAGTGTTCCAGACAAACCTAGTTTCAACAGTAAGGGTCAACACAAACAGTTTCTTCCAAGACACAATAAGTTAAAAACATAGAAACGATAGAAATTACTTGGCTTCTTTTAAAACCCCCTTTTGTCTCAAAAACAAAAAACTTAAATTAGCTCTGAACCCATCAAACATGCAACAAGTAAAGAAATCCCTTCTCCGTACATGTCAAATCAAAAAGTAACAGGATGAAAACCTACGTATCCACACTAGTATGTACAAGTATTGAAATAAAAGAGTGATATTATATATTTACATACACACACATCAGTCCCTGATCGATTAAGGCCAAAGTGCTGTAGATGCACGTGTCACCCACATCACATGTAGGCTGCTGTTGCACTTAAGTGTTCCTCAGTTTGCAAAAATGCAAAAGAAGCGGTTATATAGTAATACTCAAGGCCTTTGCTCTAGCGTCATTTGTCTCTCCAAACATATAAAACTAAGCAAACTTTAGCGTTAGGAAATAAAACTAGCTCCAAACCTCACCTTCTTTTTTTTCTGCAGTCCGTGGATTCTTTTCCGTTTTACAAAAGCGAGATAGTTTATATACATACAGTAGCGCTAGAGTTCATATGACTGAGTTCCAGTTTCAGCACAGCCTTCTGGGACTTCCTGAAACGCCCTCTCATCCTGAGAGAGAATTTATAGGGAGCGCAAAGAAGTCCGAATGTAGATGAATGCGGGAAACCAGGGCAGTGGAGCAGCGCCGGTCCACCCCCGCCCCTCCCCGCCATGTACGAGTGAAACCACAGTGCCAGTGATGGAGGAGTCAGAGCATGCCAAAGCCCTCGCTGCCCTCACTGATGGCCAGCTTCAGCATCTTGTGCAGCTCCTCGTAGGAGTCGTAGGTAGGGAGGCACAGCTGGTTAAAACTAGACAGGAGAAACGCCACAGAGTCCAAAAGTTCCAATCAAAGACCAACAATGACTTTAAGCATTTCTGAGTGTGATACAGCAGATTGTGCTGCACCACAGAGCTCCACTGTTGTCCAGAAACTATTAAAAACACATCAGTGAGCCACACAGTTGCACTGGGCGATACGGTCCTTCATTCAAAACACACGCTGCAGTTTATTTTGACTCGGTCTCACATAAACTGTTCCGCCGCCGCCATAAAAACTCAACAGAGCAGCACAAATGTATTAAGCCACTGAAAATATCCCACAAAGGAGGCCTTATTTCCTTCCGTTTGAATAATGCTTTGTAAAAAATTAAGCTCCTTTACTAGGAAATCTATCTCTGTGTGAGCCGTTTTTAACCTTCTGAGCCCAGGGGGTTATTTTTATGGTAATTTTACTACTGTTAATTTTTAAGCTTATAACTTGGTTTTTATCAGGGCATGCTTTATCTATTTTTTCCAGAACAATCTAGGCTATCTAGATCTTCTGTCTATGATGTGATACTCATTCCACCTTCACATCAAGAAATAAAATTAGACTGAAACTTTTCTTTTATACTCCCCAGAAAATGCTTTCAGTGGAGATATTGCTTTCTAATTGTTTAGGGAAGGTGATGCACATTCTGCCAATTTCTGAACAGATCTGTTTTTAGTACCAAATAGATTTTTTTTTTACTGCATTTGCTGACTTGCAGAGGTGGAAAATCTGGCAAAATTTCTGTTTTTTTTCACCTGACACATTCTTGCACATACAAGCAGCTTGCATTGTCGGAAAATTGAAGACATGCAGCTCTGTTTGAGACTAAGGAATGTGAATATGGAGGCAAAAGTCCTCCATTTGGCTTTAACGATTAAAGATTTACATCTTCTGCAAAGGGCTCGGGTGTCAACGTTGAGAGTAAATGTCACCAGATGGATTTAACACACAGTTGGTTTTGATAATTTCATGAGATTTTCTTTGACCTGCTTCTACTCACCAGGTGTGTGCAGTGGGCAAAGTGCTATGTGTGGGGGCAGCGATGATCTGGAAGGAGGGGCAGAGAGTGTTGAATCCCCCCGGGGGAAGCTGAGAGGATCCGGTGGTGAACTGCAGCAGACGTGCGAGCTCTTCCTGGGTGAAGCTGGACACCACCGCCCAGAACCACTTCATCACCTGCAGCGAAAAACAAACAAACAGCACGCTCAGGCTTTTTCATCAGTGTCCTGCTGTTGGGAAAAAAAGCTAAGTCAGTGAATTTCCACCACATACCTTCTCTCTGAAGTGCCACGACCCGCCAACAATCACTGCGTGGGCTTTGAAGTCCTGCACATTTATATCACCGGTACCACACATCAACAGCTAAAGAAATTAGAAAGGAGAGAAAAAAATACACGATTGCCCCATGGTGTTTTAAAGAGGAACAGGATTTTATTAGAAACATCACACTTACCTCCAACTCATTCTCATCAAATATGGCTAGCAGATTTTCTGGAACCAGTTCGTTTAAACCTGCAATTGATCAGGAAATTACACTAATTACAGGCACATTACTGGAGCTCTCAAAAGAGAGGAATTAGAAGGAAAAAAAAAAATAGAGTGCAGCTGTGTTAAGTTTCTTTACCTTTCAAAAAGTGTTCCACCTCATCCCTCACCTGGCTGGCCAGTCGGTACTGGGCCAGCAGGTTCAGATAATGCATCTTGTTCTCATTGGTAACGGCGATCTGAGCCCCCCCTGATATCAACTCCACCACCTGCAACGAGGCAGGACGTGAGGTTAAAAAACTACTGAAGGTGAGACGCAGAGACAGGATTAGTGCAGAATGACAGTTTCCTGAAAGTGTGTCACGGACCTTTTCTGCTGCTTTATAAATATTTGGACTATTCATTTAAATGCTTAAGAAAAACAGTTTGATGCCGCAACATATTTATCTAATTTAAAAAAATGAGCTTGAACCCAGTTTGAAGAATTTTATAAGCGAACAACAAAGTTTTAAAAAGAGCCCCTGATGCCAAACTCCACTCGTCCACCTTTATATAAACGCACCGCTCCCCCTCTTTAAAGAGAAATCCTTGCCAAACAAGCAATATGGTTTCTTTTATTTGGTTTATTGCTCCTATCTCCTGTGAAATTACATCAGGGATAAAAGGGGAGGGTCCTTTCCAAAGTGTTGCCTCACCTTCTCCAGCTGTCCCGACTTGCTGTACTTCTCCTCGGCAAACACCAGGTCCATTTCACTCACGTCATTGTTTAGGATGAAGCAGACTTTAGTTTTGTAGAACTCCTGGTCATCCGTCTCAAAGTACTGCGAGTGGAAAATGAAACGAATACGCAGGCAGATGACGTTTTTAAACACACACGGCATTTCATCTTTGTCAAAGCGACGGGGATAAAAAAACGATGATTGGGTGGACTTTCAGCGAGTTGAATAAACAGCAAAACACACTGGCTCGTTCTCCGTGACATCAATAATGCCAAGAAACAAATCAGGTTTTTTTGGCTTGGTGAGGGATGTTAAAACGATGAGATAGACCAGCTGACACCAGAACATAAACAACGAAAGCATGACCCTCCAACTTCCGAGGTCTCTTCTGTCAGAAGGCACTGTGCTCCATACCTTGTAGTTCATCCTGAGGCCAATAATCTGGGCCAAGAAGGAGCGAGTAAAGCGAGCTCGGACCAGCTGCTTGTAGGCTCCACCCAGAGCAGACTCGTACAGGCACTTCCCTACGATGCGACCCGCAAACTCGTACATCTTTAGACGCAAGTGGGGCGGCCTTTCAGCGTTCGGGTGCACCTTGAAAATGACGACGGAGGATCTCTTAGTTTTTTTTGAAGTGCATCTCGTTTAAGCATTGAATGTGGAAGTGGGTGAACGGGCTAACTCACGAGACCCTGGTTGTTGTCGCTGAATCGGGTGAACAACTGGTTGGACGTGTCAAAGAGGGTCTTACAAATCAGCTCAAACCACTCCCTGCGAGGGCCTCCCCAGTCCAGAGCTGCAAGACACGTTCCAAGATTTTAGATTAGACCCTTCTGGTTTGATGCAACAGCAAAAAACATCGTTCATTCAGGTGTTTTGTTTACCTTCCTCGTCCTGGAACACGACCTCAAAGTTCTTACTCCAGTCAGACACTGAGAAGTTCCTTGTAGCCTTCAGAGACTGTGAAGCAGCAGATAAACGAGACACATTATCACAGAGGTCACATGAGTGTTGTGATTCTATGCCCGTGTTCATAATGCGCTGGAAGGCAGCACTTACTGAATCTAGGATAGCGTGCCGAGTGATTTTTAGGCAGGTTTTGGTGCGAGGTCTCTTGGAGTGGATGTGCCTGAGTTCACGTTGAAAGAAGTTCACCTTGTCTTGGAACGTTTCAGAGCCACCTGAGGACATTATCATCAAATTACCACGACGATCACCATAAAAGACGGTTTTTTTGCTAAGGGCTGCTCGAGGCAAAAGGAGCCTCATTTGACTGAAACAAACCAATGTTCTTGTGCAGGAAACGAATGAAGGTGGCAGCCATTATGTTCCTATCTTTGCAGCTGAGCTCCACAGGAGGCTGTATCCCATCATCCACCACTAGAGTTAGGTACTTGTGAACCGGGTCAGGGCCATAATAGGTGAACTGAAAAGAGAGACTTCAGTTAGCGACCGTGCAAAATCAAAAACGGCCTCTTCTCCTGACATTTCCGACGTCTGCTTACCTTCGTTCCTGGACATACTCGAAAGGTGAAAAGGCGCCATGGAATAATTTTCAGGTAGAACTCCTTCACGGATAGTTGCTGTTCAACAAGAATCCAAGTCAGCGGCATCGTACATTCACACATAATGAGAATTTTACACTTTTAGGATCTCCTAAAGACTCCATATTGTGCAAATTTACAAATTTAGAATTGTATTTTTGGGATCCACTAAAATATGCTTACATGCTTTAAAAACACATGTTTTTTCTCTCATACTCTACATTGCTCCAGCACCTGTTCTGCCTAAAACTCTCCATTTTAGATCTGTCTCTTTAAAGCGCTTCTACTGAAAAGCCTAGTTTGCTCTGATTGGTGAGGTGGGCAGACGAAAGTGAGGGATGACTGGTTACGTATCAGATCTATATAGAGTGTATATATATATATGTACCCTTGGTGGAAGAGCCTCTAGTGAGGAAACTATGGCAGACTGCAAGTATCTCTGCACTCTTTGTTTGAGGGCCGAACTAGCCACTAGGCAGGTGTTCTACTGATGTATAGTGACGTCGATGTTCAATCCAAGTGTGTTTTCAGGGGAAAGAACAACTCCCTTTGGTGTATATTTTGTTAGTTTGCAGTCCTGTTACATGCACCAAAAGATGAACACATTAGAATAAAAGGAAAACCAAAAAAAGATCATATTATGGCTCTATAATTCCCTATAATAAAGTTGAAGCATTGTGTGCCGGTTGCTCACCTTTGGCGATATGTAACAGTAGACCTTTTTTGGTTTCTTGACCTTCTCAGGTTGTCCCTCCACAGGAGAGTCATGCTCGTCCTCTTCTTCTCCCATGGAGGGCCTCCTCTGGGGAGCCAGCAAAGAGGAAGCTGGTAACTGCCATGATGAACTGCTGTAGTTCCCACTGCTGTAAAGGTATGCCTCAAAGTAGATGCTTATGCCTGGAGTGGACACATTCTTCTCCACGCAGGCCTTTTCATTCTCTGCAATATGCAAGAAGATGAGTATTAAGTACTGAAAAGGCTGAATATGTAACACAGAGAAGTTCACTCCATTTATGCGCCCGATTATCTTCTATTGTAAAGCTGCTCACCACTGAGAACAATTATGTCGAATTCCCCATTGCTGAGCGGCTGATCCTTGTAAGAGATGCGGGCCCTGAAGCAGCCCGTCTTCCTCAGGGTCAGTCTCAGCAGAACCTGGCACTGCTGCTTGTTAAGTGAAACTGACTTACTGTAGAAGTCCTCCAGGCTGTCATCATCCACTGTTCCTAGCTGGAAGAACAGGAGAACTAAAATGAATCCCAGCTCAGCTCTGCTACACTGCAAAGCCTATAAACTATAAAGCCAGTGACTGAGCAATCGGGAACTGAAAAGAAATGTTGGCTTACATTTTAACAGTCAGAATCAAGAAACAAATCTTCATAGCACAGAGTAATGTGTAAGAGAAAAAGGGCCTTACAGAGTGCACATGGACGCTGTAGTTGGCTTCATCTGTCAGAGACGTGGAGTTACTGGTAGGGTTTCCGTATTCGTCCCTGGGCTCGATTTGTAAAGTGTGTTGCTGGCCGTTTGTTAGCACCAGGGTGGAGAAGTGGTAGGCTATCTTGGTTTTTGATGGAACGACTGTACCTGAGAAGAACCAGAGAACAGAAAAATAATCAGTCGCAGCTTTGACAGAGCAAATTAGATGAAAATGTATTAAAATCAGATTTTCCAAAACACACATCATGGTCATACCTGGCTGGAATATCTTGTAATACGGGCTGTAGGCCACATTGAGACCACCCAGCTTGACGGCAACCTCATAGCGTCCAGCCTTGCGCACTGTGAAGGCCACTTTGACCACGTTGGACTCTGGTTCTTGCAGAACCTCCTGGGTAACAGGGATGTCCAAGGCCAGTTCAATGTGGGTGATGTTGACCCTCAGCCCCACAGGCCGATGGGCTGGGAAAGGCTGACCGTTCTTATAGAAGAGCTGAGAAGCCACAAGTACAAAAGGAGTATAATTTAATACAGTGACGTCTATTTTACACTGAACATAGTTTTGCTGACTAAATCTAATCTAAAGTTATTTTTTTGGCCTTTTTGCCTTTATTTGATAGTGAAGTTGAGAGAGAGACAGGAAAGTCGGGAGAAGAACGGGGGAAGAACCTGCGAAAAAGGGCCATGAGCGGGACTCAAACTCATGACCTCCACATCGGGGACTGTAGCCCCTGCACATGGGACGCCAGCTCAACCAGGTGAACTATAGCGGCGCCCCGCTGGCCAAATATTTCCGACACTGCTGCATCCGTAATCTACTTGTAAGAAAGCCAGTCAGACCAGACGCAGCAGAGACACTATCTCTGTAGCCTGGAGACACTAGACGTCTATTATCACCTGGACTCTGAAGCTCATCGTCTGCCCCACTTCCTGTGGTTCCTTCCAGTCCCATGACACCTTGCAGGAGCGTGGGTCCAGGTAGTTGCCCCGGACATAGTCGTAGATGCTGCGATCACCGCGTCGCCCTGGATCCTCATTCTGCAGGAAGCTGACCACTCTTGCTGCAAGCTCACAGAGGAACTTGATGGTAAAGACAAACGCTATGATGGAAACAGTAATTCCACCTGCCACAGGAAGGAAGAGAAGCACAGGAGATTAGTGGTTGCAATGTGGATGTGCATCTGGTTTAGAAATCAGCTGTATTAACACTTGAAGGCTAAAAGTCACTTGGTAGTAAATACAGCAGTAAATCAGCCCAATTCAAAGTCCAAACAGCTGATGATGGACTCACCAATCACGTAAAACATGAGGTCCCTTATCAAGAAGCACAGCGCCACAGTACAGCCAAATAGGAGAGCTCCCGCTGAAAAGACAATTGGACTATGAATACCATCAATAGCTGAGACAAAACAATGCACACTTCCTGCTCTGAGTCTGCACATTCCATTTAACTGGCTGTAGTTTTCTTTATAATATATTTTTACATGTTAGTCATTAGAAATGCTCATGAGTTGTTTTATACTACCATACATCTATCCTGAGAGGGGGTGAACACAGTGTTTTTATGAGATAGCAAAGACGTGTTGGCTTGTGCATGCAGATGAGGCAACGCTGAGCTTCTCCATTACAACACTTGAGCTACATTCAAATGATGTGTGACTCCTGCAGAGACAACATTTGTGAAAACACTTATCAACACTTAGCAACGGAGCGACCTTATGTTTATGCCTCGCATCTAAATCCCTCTTGATCCCCTGCAGCTGTCCGAAGCAACCAAAACCCCTCATAAAATAATCAGAGCCTCACCAATTGACCACTTCTCATTCAGACGCCTCTCAGCAAGACTGTGCACCAGCCGGATCTCGTAGTCCTGGTCGCGACTCCCCCTGGAGGTCTGGAGGATCTTGATGCCCGTCGACAACTTTATGTAGTCTTCGTAGTAGTAGCCCCAAGCAGCTAAAGAGAGCTGCAGCTGACTGTCAAACTGAGACAGGTCATCCAGATTCATACAACCCAAGGTCTTCAGTCTGCAGTGGGGAGACAAGTATGGAAGCATGTAAGGCAGATTAAAGGAATGGTCGCACTACCTTTTACCATATTTTTAGAAGTGCAACCCTCCTGCTGTTGCTAAACGTCTATTGAGCAAGACTGCTGCTGCTGTGACTACACAACAGGCTGTTCCACACACAAAGCAAACACCGGTGTATGTGAAATGCTGCAAGACAGGAACCTCAATCTTATCAGTCAAACTTGTGCGTTATCTCAAAAGGGAGAAGTTAGAGGTTAGGCCATGTTGCATGTGGCCTTCTTTAAAAAAAAAAATAAATAAATCAGATTAAAATGAAGAAGGCTTGCACGCGACAAGCACAGGTAGACACAGGAGTGGAAAATGTATAAGTAAACAAATGGTTAGCACTATTATAAAACAGAAACATAATCTCCTGTTGTAAAGTTTGTCCAATAACCCCTGTCTGTTGACACTGAGCGTGTGCAGTAATTACGCTTTCATAGTATGATTTTCATGGCCACAAAGCCTGCAATATAAAATATTATCTCTATAACTACAGAAATAAAACAAACAGTCGGATGTATTTACATTCCCTTCTGCGTTCTATGTGACTCCATCAGCGTGCTGCTGTTCCCAGTGTACACACTACCAACTATGGTAATCAACACTTCATTATATTACTATATTTTTCACCAAACATTATAATCGCCTCACTCAAAATTCTCTGAGAATAAATAAGGCTCATGTGAGTCTGCAACTTTAACTTCCCCATCGACAATGTATTTTTGGATTGCAAATGACTGCAAAAATTGTCTTCCATTACAAGACTGAATCAAAAGGTCATCCAGAATTATGTGGGCAACGAAGGTCTAAACTGATATCCACCGAATCAAAACAGCAAAGGATGCAGGGATAGCATGACAGGCGTGACCTTCAGAAACGTGACACTGCTTCCCTATGGGGAGATGTGAGACAGTTATGCTTCTAAACATGACACTGTGCATTTCTAAAGCACTACAGACCTTCAGAAACATGACAGTTTGCTTCACTGAAAAAAAAACAAGTAAGACAAACCATCACTGTTTTGATAAACCAACAACTACTAATCACAGTCAGTGCTGTTTGAATCAGTAGACAGAAGTCAACACACATACACAAACATCTGCATTGCTGCAGGGTCTCACACTTGCAGTCTCTAAAGAATACTTTTTACTGCAGTGACCCTGTGAAACACTGCAGCCCACACGGCTCAGTGTCAGCAAACTCAGCTAAGCATGAAGGGAGAGACTGCCCTCAAGTGGACGCATTTGAACAGAGCCTGTGTTAACCAGCATAAAACATAACCACCTAATCAATTAAGAACCTGAAAGAATCCACAATCTAAATGTACTCTGTGCCAAGTAACTGCTTCCAAAAAAGGAAGGCTACTTACAAATGTATGCCACATTAGCGTGAGTGTTTAAGTTAAGACCTTTCATTGCTTACGTATGGTAATAGTGCTCCAGGTTCTGGGAACAAAGCCACTCCTGGAAGGCAAAGTCTCGGAGCAGCTGGATGTGAGCCTCTGCAATTTCCCTCCAGCGCTGCTGTTCCTTAACCACCTCCTCCAGACGACTCAGTACACTCAGACTCAGCTCCTCCAGTGTCTGTACATCTGGATGACACATGAACAACACATAAATATCCCCATGCTCGATCTGGCCAGCAAGTCATCATCAGTAATGCCCCAGCACAGGCCGAAATACTCATTAAAGACTAATATAATGAGTAGCAAGCCTTTGCTGATTGTCCGTGAATGCCACTTGCATCTCTTGAGCCTGAATGTCTGGTGTTCAACACCAAAAAAGCTGTTTATTAAACTCAGCTCAGTTACATGTGATACTTCTGACTCGCTGGTACTTCTGCAAAAACTCAGAAGTTTTTTTTGTGCATTTCACTGAAACTACATTTACTCTCTACTTTAGCCTTCAACAATACTTATATGGTGGATTGGACAGATGTTGTTGTAACCTACTGACCTTCGAATAAGTGCCTGTACTGAGAGAGGTTATGTCCTTGGAGCCATTCCTCAATCTGACTTTCTTTTCCTTTCTTCCAGCGCACTTCCCAGAAGAAGATCCACGACACTGAGCAGAAGAGAAAGGTCAGGAAGAAGCGGCGGTCCATCAGACCATCTTTCAGCCTTCACCCAGACCCCTCCGTGCTCAAAGGAAAGCTGCCACCCGCCAGTGGGCTAGTCAAGTCTTCTACAATGAAAGAAGACAAAACCATCAAAACAGAGCTGAATTCAAACACTGAACAAAGAAAAAAAAGCTTTTCACAAATTGCTTCTTTTAAGAAAACAGTTTGGAAAAATGACAAAGTCTTAGGAGCTGAGCTGTAAACTGCTGTGCCAAGAAAGCATGAATATTTAAGTGTCACCTTGGAGAAGTGTGGAGAATAACATGACATGAAATCCACAGCACTGAAATATGTATGAGCAGCTTGGCCAAAGAATGATCATAAAAACTGCGTCTGTTTTTAGCCAAAATAAAGTAAGAAACCGGGCCAAACACAATCTCGTTGCAATCTAAATCCTACCGAACAACGACAACAGTCCAGCCGGTGGTGATGGTACTGGTCGTGATGAGACGCCTGGGCTCGCTAGCGCTCGTGTCAAAACGTTTCCAAATGTCATCCGCTGCCACTCTAATAAACAACAAAACAGCTAACTAAATAGCACGACCAACGATAGCTCCGGTTAAGTTAATATCACAGTTACTTTAGCGGCTTTTTTAAAAAAAAAACAGAAAACAGTGAGAGCTGAAAACAAATTGCAATATCATCAATTCTCGCTGGTCTATTGACACCTGGAGTGCTAGGTGACGCTGGAGGCTAGTGGGTAACAACTGTTAGCATCGCACCCACAAACCGCTACAGTAGCATTCGCCGACGAGCAAGACAACGCGATGCTAACGGCTAGCTGCGTTAGCCAACAATGTCGGCGTCATACCAGAAAGCTCGCCGACAACCCGCGGCGGTTATCAACACGCACACATGCAACACGTTTGTAAAACACCGTTTTGCAATGGCACGACTAAACGAAAGCAACACGCTGCGAGTGCAAAATTGCAACGAATCCACGCATTTAAACACTGCATCTACCTTCGCCTGTGGAGCATTAGCATAGCAACCGGAAAATGCGCAGGACAGACGTCGATTTTTGATTACGTCCTCATATCGATACACGAGGGGAGACGGAGCGAGCTTTATCCTGCTAGTCGGAGCTCTGGAGTGTAATTTAAACTATGGTATGTACAAACTAGCTTTATTGCAATTACAATATTGCTGCCTTGATAAATGTCTTCCCTTAAAATGTAGTAATTAGAAGTTGAAGCATTTTGGCAGGCATGCTACTGAGCTAACTCCAGCTAGCCTAGCATCTAACAACATCAGCTGCTACCAGGGATTGCTATCTGTTTTGCTACACGTACCTGAGCTTTTAAAAGGAAGGTTTATCTAATTCTATAATTTATATTTTCGGCTTTTGTAGGTTTCAGGCACTAGTTGGCTACCAAAGAAAGAACATAGCCTGAGTTTGGATTAAAGTTTTTCGTGTTCAGTGTCTTGATTTGTAAATACTGCATATAGCTCAACTTCATCTCCCACTTTACACCAGGAGACAGGGTTTGTTGTGATCTTTTGCGTGTATCTGATTTCTGTGTGTTTTAACTTGTTTATTCCAGGGGAAGCAGAAAACGAAGAAGTTTGCAGCCATGAAGAGAATGATTAATTTGAAAGACAACAGATTGTGAGTTTTCATGATTACTTTATGCTTCACAACCCAATTCACTTCTGGTTTAACCATGTTCTATGTTAACCCTGTCCAAGGCTCAGGTGCTCAAAAAGTTTATCGTGGATCAAAGTGATCCAGTTTTGGAAATCCTGGCACACTTCTCTGACTGTTTTTCAAAACCCCTTTTCAGCCCTGGAGGACGTGACATGTTGACAGATTCTGTTTTTTAGATGTAGTTTGCTTTTGTCTTGATAGTTAAAACTTCATTCAGACATCCACCACAGTGACAGAGGGAGCCCAAGGAACACATGCAATACTTCATTTTCAGTTTGAGAGTACATCCAGTGACCTAAAACGTAGTAATTATAGTAATAAACAAAAGACAAAATCCAAAGTAAAAACAGCTTATCAACTTTTCAGATAGCTAATAGTATCTAAAATTAAGGAAAGTACAGCGTGGCTTACTGTTAAAACCTCTATGTTCCTGTCTCCATGCTTGGTGCAAATTAATGAATTTACCAGCGATGTTGTTCTGTTGTTACACGTATGTAAATGTGTGCAGCTCTCTTCATTTGGAAATGCTCGTGAGGATCTGGCTGCTGTTTGATGCTCAGAGAAAAAAACTCCTAGATGAAGAGAACCCTTACCTAAGTCACTTCACACAACTCAAGTACTGTAACTCTATATGAATGCAGCTCAGACTTGCAGAGACCAACTTTTGAAGCTCTGCTTTTAACAGACAAAAAGAATACACAGTGGTGACATTCAGTATATTATTTTTGTTGCCAGCTGTTTGGGGGATTATTTTATGAGGCCAAATCCTTTTTTTTAAAATTATTTAACTTTCCTGAAAGGCTTAATAGGTGGCCTACTTATTTTTTCATCACTGTAATAAAACAAATGCAAAGTATAAATACACGTGTGTATACTGCATGATACTAATGTGACATTTGCCCAGTTTAAAAATTTTAGGATAATTTGTCACTAAAATTCACCCTAAATCCAGCCGTCTGTTAGGCTCAAGATAATCCTGGTTAGTTAATTTATTTTTAACAAGACATACTGAAGGTTTAATTTAAACCAAAACCAAGACTGGATTGTGTGATCAAATCAAGTTTATTGTCATGTTGCTGCACGTACACAGTAGTGCAGGCAAGATGAGGGAGGATCCAATAACTTAAAGCAATTTAACTGGATCAGCAGTTCAGCATTCTGACAGCTGGTGGAGTAAAGCTGTCGATCAGTCTGAAGGTTCTTCCTTTAACGCTCCGGAAACGTTTGCCTGATGGCAGCAGTTCAAACAGTTTATGGAGAGGCTGTGAGGAGACAATGTTCAGTGTCCTGCAGCGGCTCTGGAGAAGTTCTTGGACAGAGATGAGGGAAACTCAATTGAATTTCCCTTCTGGGATGAATAAAGTATTTTTCATTTCATTTCAACTCCGATGCTCCCCTCAGCTCCTCTAACTGTCCTCTGCAGGACTTTTCTGTCTGACAGCCTGCAGCTGGAGGACCAGGTTGAGATGCAGGATGTCAGAACGCTCTCCATCACACCTCTGTAGAGAGTCCTGAGGATGCTGGCAGGGAGAGAGGCTTGTTTCAGCGTCCTCATCTGATCTGATCTGATCTCAGAATCCTTTTGTTTCTTCTTAACAAAAGGATTCAACCCAAGATTTGATCCAATGCGACAGCCACAGTCTGATCAGATTACTTCTGAGCAATTGAGCCTGGTTTATAAAATCTGCTTCATTCGTTTACAAATCAACAAAACAAAAATGGAAAATCGACAATCAAATTTGTTTATTTTTATCTTATCTTATATTTTTACTTCCTTGCTGTTGTATTGATAGATAGCGGAGAACTGAGCACTTTGTCGTGTGTTTTTTTAAATTAATTAATTTATTTTTTCTTATCACTCGATCCAGCACCTGCCTGTCAGGTTCAGTGTGTATTTGTTAAGGACTGCCAAATGCTATCATTTGTTTTCTGCAGAACAAATCTACCCACAGGTGTTAATGCAACAACCTTAAACCTTAAACCTTGAACAAAGCAGATCATTATGTGGGAATCTCCCAGGTCTGTGAACGCTCTCTAACTGTTCGTTTGGTTCTGTAGAAAAGAGAAAGACCGTGCCAAAACAATACAGAAAAAGAAGAAAGATCCCTCAAAGCTGAAGGAGACAGAAGTGTAAGTCAGCCACACCACAGTTTCATTTGGATTGTAAATAGCAGATGATGACATCTTGACTTGTTTTCTTTGAACTTGTTCTGCAGGCAGAAGTACCCATCATGCTTGTTCTTCCAGTACAACACTCAGCTTGGCCCGCCGTACCACGTTCTGGTTGACACCAATTTCATCAACTTCTCCATCAAGGCCAAACTGGACATTGTTCAATCTATGATGGACTGTTTATATGCCAAATGTAAGTACTGCTGCCCAGTGGCAAGTAGTAATGAGAGAAATGTTGTTTATGTGAGCCACTTAATATATATAATGATTCAGAATAATATAATTTAATAATAACACAAAAATGAATATTTGTTTTCCTTGAATTTTTCTCCATCCAGGTATCCCATATATCACAGACTGTGTGATGGCTGAGATTGAAAAGCTTGGAATGAAATACAGAGTTGCGCTCAGGTACAAGATGCTGGCTTTACATTTTTGGAAGCATTAAAATATATATATATAAACTACTATTAACAACATGGTGTTTGCCAATTATTTAGTTTTTATTTATTTATTTTTGCAGGATAGCCAAGGACCCGCGGTTTGAACGCCTGCCGTGCGCACACAAGGGAACATACGCTGATGACTGTTTGGTCCAACGCGTGACACAGGTACAGTTATATCCATACATACATGTCCATGATAACTTAATGGTGAACACTGTCTCACAAGTAACAGTGTGCATATTTGTGATGAACAATACTTATATTGATAATCAATTAGTTGTCAATAATCACCAACTATTTTAATAATTGATTCATCGTTTTGATTAAAAAAGAGAGAGAGAGAGTTAGGGGAAAAAAGTCTAAATTCTTCGATTCCATCTTTTTAAAATTTCAAGTTTCTTCATTCCTCTATGACAATAAACTATATATTTTTAGGATTTGGACAAAACAAGACATTTTAGGACGTCAAACACCAGTTTCTGACATTTTATAGACCAAACAACTGATTGATTTATTGAGAAAATAACTAAGAGATTAGTCAATAGTGAAAACAATGGTTAATTGCAGCAGTGGACAGAAGGCAGCAGTTATGTCTGATGTTACTCTTTGTGAAACCAGTTGCTGTTGCACAATACTAACCATTACAGTAGCTAATTGTATGTCTTTTAATGCTGGTTTTGGTGTTGAAAGGGAAATACTAATTACACTAAAATATCTCTGCAGCACAAGTGTTACATCCTGGCGACTGTGGACAGAGATCTGAAGAGAAGGGTGAGGAAGATCCCCGGGGTGCCCATCATGTACATCTCAAACCACAGGTAACAGTTTTCTAAACATGTGGCAGCTTTTTGTGTGTTTGTGACATCAAATTAAAAAACTGTCGCTTATTACTGACTTTGTGTTTTTTCTGTTTTTGAATGCAGATATAATATCGAGCGGATGCCTGATGACTACGGTGCACCGAGGTTTTAATCAGCCTGGACCACAGCTCGGCCTGTAAATAGACTGAAGATTCCCTGTTGAACATTATTTTTCTTTTGTGCATATTAATAATATTGTAACTTGGTGAGGACGGAGGTGTGTTTGATCAAACTGCAGATTTCCTTCTGTTTTTGTTTTTTTTTTTTAATTTTTTGAAAGATTTGTTACAGTTCTTTCCTTGAATTTAATAAACAAATTGGTGAAATGCATGTTGTGTTCCTGTTTTTCAAATATATACACAGGTATTGGCTCTATAATTAATTAAGTGTACAATGGGGATGTAAAGTTTTTGGAGGTTTCTTCTCCACAGCAATGAACGCTTAAATGTTTCTTAAATAAAGCACAAAAAAATGGTGCGTTCGGGTGCTATTTGCGTTAATATCCAGCATCTAGAGGATCTCAGATGGACATCTTACGAGGAGCACCTAAACGCATCACTTGTCACCGCTCTGAGCTCATCCGTTCGGCAGGGCGCATGCGCAGTGTTGGGAGGTCGGGGTCCGGGGAGTGTCTGAGCGGCTCGTCGGCTTGAATGTAAACCCGCAAGACGGCGAAGCCAAGGAGAGCATCTGCATGAACAATGAAGCGGCTGCCTCGGAGGGAAACGACTCGGTGATCGCTCGGAGGTGAAGAGGACGTGAGGAAGATGGGGCTGAAGAAACGGCTCGATTTGGTGGATTTCCGTGGCGAGAATGACCTCTAACGGTGCAGGGAATTAGGATTTTCTACCACTTTTGTTGCCCGGAGAGACAAATCCTCACACAGACTGTCACAGCGGGTACCTCGGCGGGCTGCTGGTTGGTGACCATCCACAGTATCGGTCAAAGGCTTCACATCTTCCAGCTTTAGTCACCTTAATGTGTGATTTTATTTATTTATTTGCATCAATAGCTGATTATTGGCTGGCCTGTAGCCTGTTAGATTTCCACCAAAAGTGCCAAATACTTACTGGAAAGTCTTTCTAGATTAAAAAGAAAATATTTTATTTTTTCTAACTCACTTGCTTCATTTATTAGGTGTGGTTTAATCACAGCAGATCACCCTGAGCTGCACTGACTCTGTTTTTGATGCCCTAATCTGCTTGATGTCATGCCATCTGTTGTGGGAACCTGCTTAAACCTGCAAGCAGATTAACCAGTTAAAGGATCCAAAACAAAAAAAAAAAAGGGCATCCGTGAGGAGGAGGAAGAGGAAGAGGAGGAGGAGTTTCTGTGCTGTCCCTCCAGGTGAAGGGATGCTGAGGGCCACGGTGGGCTCGGTGGAGGAGAGGGACGAGGAGCAGGAGGATGAAGGCGACGAAGAGCTGAGGGACGGAGGGGTGCCTTTCTACGTCAACAGGGGAGGCCTCCCGGTGGACGAGGAGACTTGGGAGAGGATGTGGCGCCATGTGGCTCGAATCCACCCCGGCGGCGAGGCGCTGGGGAAGGAGATCAGGGGTGCCACCGACCTGCCCAAGGTAATCTGAAGACACTCACAGCTGATCACACAGGGCTCCTCACACGACCCTCCTGAAACTCACACATAGCGTAGAAACAATCGACACCCATGTGTTGCAGGAAAAATATTTGCCTCACCTCCCACACGAGACACAGAAAGCCCTTAAATCCACTGCGAACAATCCACTTTAAATGCTGATTTTTGCTGCTTAGTGCTTCCATCATAAAACACACTGGCCAGCACATTGATGTCAGAGTGGTGCATGTCATTCACTTCTCATGAGGGTGGCAGTTAGGATGCTGTTAGCTGTGGAGAACAGAAAAGAGCGGTCGAACAAGACAACATTCTCCAGCTGCAATGAATGTCGGGATTGTATGGCTGTCATGCGGTTGTTTGTCCCGCAGATTCCAGTACCGAGTGTGCCTACATACCAACCTACCACCAGTATCCCACAGCGCCTGGAAGCCATACAGAAGTATATCAGGGAATTGCAGTATCCTTTCACGGAGACGGTTCGAAGTCAAGTGTTGAAAAAAGCTGATTTTACAGGTTGATTTTCGTCACACGGAGTGTGTCGTCACAGAACCCCACTGACCCAAACAAATGCGATGTAGGTCACCGTGGTACTATTTTCTATATTAAGCAAAAGCTTGATTTCCAGTCAGAGAAGAAACTCATCTATAATTAACCGACAGCCTATGAATATCACAAAGCGCTTTAAGGAGTTTGTCTCTTCCTCTCACGCTGTTGTGACCTTAACCGTGTCTTGCAGGTACAATCACACAGGAACACAGTTTTTTGAGATAAAGAAAAGCCGTCCTCTGACCGCGTAAGCAGATCTTCCTTCAAATCCAAGACTGATCATGATGTCTGGTGGACGTTTGTGCCACCGGCCACAGGGATGATGATTTCTCATGGTTTAGTCAGTGTCTGGTTCAACCCTGGTCTTTGTGAGTAGGAACTAATGTCAGTCAGCCTGCAGCTTGGAGCAGGCTCTTCCTGACCTCCCTCTATTAGATTTAGTGGAAGAGATTTTATTTCCCTGACTCATGGAAACTGTTTTGGTTTGACTGCATGAAATCAGTCCCTGTGTGTTTCACTGCTTCCCTGTGACATTAACGTCGTTGTGCTCTTTTGCGCAGGTTAATGGACATCGCTAAGGAGATGACTCGGGAGGCTCTGCCGATCAAATGTTTGGAGGCGGTGATCCTGGGGATGTATCTTTACGGCCGCTTAATGCCTTCAGATTGTGTTGTTGTATGTTCTGCTGCCGTCGCCGTAGAGACTGGCAGCTTCTTTCTACTTGTGCGCAGAGCAGACGCGGTTGGATAACAGAGTGGGAAATGGGTTTCTGGCAGGCTTGCCGGGTGTTGTCTCGCCATCTTTGGCTCGAGATATTGTCAAATCTAGCAGAACAAAACAAAAGGACATAATATGAAGCAGGAGGCTGGACTGCAGAAGTCACTGCCTTGATGTTGATGTGATATTGATTGCCGCATAGGATCTAAAGATCAAATGTCCACTTCCTTGACCCAGCACGATACAGTTACCTCACCAACAACATGCCCGGCGTGGAGCGCTTCCCCCTCAGCTTTAAGTCTCATTTCTCAGGGAACCACTTCCACCACATCGTGCTGGGAGTTCACAGCGGGGGACGCTTCGGCGCGCTGGGCATGAGCCGGAGGGAGGACCTCATGTTCAAGCCCCTGGAGTTCCGAACGCTGATGGACCTGGTGCAGGAATACGAAGGAGCCTACAGGGGCTACTGGCACACCCTCCGCAAGGTCAAAATCGGCCAGTACGTGTCCCACGACCCTCACAGCGTGGAGCAGATAGAGTGGAAGCACTCCATACTGGATGTGGACAAGCTGACCAAGGAGGAGCTCAGGAAGGAGCTGGAGAGACACACTCGAGACATGAGGCTGAAGGTACAGGAACATGTGAGGAGGTCATTTGCAAAAACAGAGAACTCCATTGTTGTAGATTTTCAGAAAACCGATTGTTGTTGTTGTTTGCTCGAGATAATATCAATCAAACTGAAGCTGAGTGGATTTGACTCAGTAGAAATGACAAAAATAGAGAAGTTTGACTGATATTATCTCAGATAGGGGCTGCAAGGTGGCGCAGTGGGTAGCACTGTTGCCTCGCAGCTAGAAGATCGCTGGGTGTGGACACCCAGGATCTTTCTGCGTGGAGTCTCCATGTTCTCTCCGTGCAGCGTGGGTTCTCTCTGGGTTCTCTGGCTTCCTCCCACAGTCCAAAAACATGTTGAGGTTAATTGGTGATTCTAAATTGTCCGTAGGTGTGAATGTGAGTGTGCTTGGTTGTCTGTCTCTAAGTGTAGCTCTGTGATAGACTGGTGACCTGTCCAGGTGTCCCCTGCCTTCACCCTGAGTCAGCTGGGATAGACTTCAGTCCCCCATGACCCTGGTGAGGATTAAGCGGTGTATAGATGGATGGATGTCTCAGGTAGATGATGAAAAAGTTGGTTTTCTGAAGATGGAGTTATCTGTTTTTGCAAATCTTCATATGCAAAACCATCCAAGACTGAAAATACTGAAGGATAATGTTTACTAAATACTATTTTTGATGTTAAAGATGTGCATGTTTATTTTGCCACTGAAACTGATACAAGCTGTCGGAGCTCTTGCAGGAGCAGAGATGATAATAAGAAATATAATTAGTCCTCAGCAGATGGACTGGCCTTCCTAACAGCTTATTAGATTCCCTTTGACATGCTGTGTCCTCATGCGCAGCGACACCGAGTCGATCTGCTGTTTGAGCAGCGATTTCCCTCAAACGACGCTCTCTCATCACCTCTCATGCTAAGATAATGAAGGCCGCCTTGATGCTGAGCTCTGTGTATAATAAAACTAATGTGATGACTCGACTCCAGGCTCTTCGGCGCTTCATGCATGGCCGGCTCGATCCATCAATAGCCGGTCTTTTAAACCGAGTGCTCTGCGCAATCACATTAAAGACATGGACAGATTTCAGCCGCTGACACTCGGCGGGACGTAAGCTTTGTGAGCTCACCCGTGTGATGTTTAAAAGTGAGTGAAATACTGATTAAGATTGTTCTTGCTTATGCAGATAGGAAAGCCTGCACCTCCATCTCCCACCAAAGACAGGAGGAACAGCATGGGTTCACCCCTCAGAGGGCCAGGCAGCCCCATACGGAGGATCAGCCGCGTCGAGAGACGGTATGATTAATCACATGCTCTGGATTATTAGGCGCTCGCTCGCACTAAAAATACTGGCGCCATAACCACTGATGTGAAACCTCTGTAGTCGCCGGAAAAAATTTGGAGGACAGATGTCTCATGATCTACGGCACAAGAAGGAATTAGTCACAGTTTCCTCATTGTATGAATAAACCTCTTTGTCTTTTTTTTGTTGCAGTCCCTCTGGAGAGAAGAAGGTTTTGGAACAAAAATCATCAACAGATATGAATGGATACCAGATTCGAGTCTGAGGAAGACTTTTGGTTTGAATCTTAAGGTGCAGCACATTTGTTTTAATGGGGCCAGTGATTTAATCGTTTTGTACACATTGGCCTATTCACTGGATGCAATGTTGAATAGGTCACCAGCAACCTCCCAAAACAAACGCCTCATTCAGCTTTCCTACGTTGTTACAGGCTTTTTTTCTCTCTGTAGCAGTTACTGTGCATAGTAATTGGTGCTGGCATCGCTCCCGATTTATAGAAAGAGGGAGTGAAAGTGCAGTAATACGTCAACGGTTTTTAAATTACTGCAGAGTTGTGCTTCACGCGGCACAATGTGAAATATGATTCTTGGCTGAAGCCGGCCAAAAGTACCACTCAGTGTAAATGTGCTACTGGACATATCATAGGTCTTTGTGCTGTTATCGTTTCGGAACAGAAGCTCTCGAGGGTTCGTCTGCAATCCGTATCGTCGTACTGTAAGTGTGCAAATACGTGTCATGTAATATAAATCCACCTAGACTCCGCCGGGCAACGACATTCTTGTGTAGTGACTAGTTTGCAAACCACTACCCTTGTGCCTTGTATGAAGACTTTTTTTTATATCCAGCCGGTTATTCTCATTATTCAGAAAGCAGTGTAATCCCTGCTCTTCCAAATTATTAAAAAAAAATAGACTGGCAAGCACCCAGCACCCAGAGGTGAGCATGTTTGGCATGCTTTTACCCTCTAGGACTGAATATGGGGTTGAATAGATAATATACCGACGTGTAAGAAGGCATCTGGCTGCAAATTATGAATCATTAGTTGAACCAGATTAACGGCAAATCCTCTGATGGACCTAGTCTGCATTTAATGTAGACGTAAAATAACAAGAAGTCAATTTATTTGTATTGTATAGCTGCTTTCTATTTACAGTAAATACCTTGTTTGTAAGTTTTATTTGTAGCAACTCTATCCAATGTTTCACTGGCCTTAAGTGGCGTCAAAGCAACTGACTTCCATTTAAGATGTAAAGCAGTTTGTTTACAGCACTTTTATCTGCATTTTGTATTTTTTTATTCCGTCGTTTTATACTACCTTCAGTGTAGGTGATCACCAGTAAACTCTTAGTATTTGCCACACACTGTTTTAAATGTTGCTACAGTCAACATGTTTTTTTTAATCTGTACAGTCGGTGTTCATTTTAATTTCTGTAACGCAGTTGTTTTTGTACCAAAAGACCGTTGATTTACAGGATCACAATAAAGGGTCACTATGATTGTGGCAACATGGTTTTATTTGTGATTTTTTTATGAATTCATGGTTAAATATTGAAATACTTTCTCCTTATCTGAGCATGTTCCAGGAAAAAATAAATCCTCAAATGATGTTTAACGAGTAGATACGCTGTAATTAGTTGTCTGGGTGTCAGGCGGGGAACGGCGCCAGTTTTCTGTCCACCAATAGTTCACATTTAGCACAGGCAGTACTTAGCTGGAGGGCAGCAGATCTCCAAACACTACCCCTGTTAGGTTTACACAAAGAAAACTCAGTGATAACAACTCTATAAAAGGGAAGCGTAACCCTCAGTGAATTAACACACAAACAGTTCAACAAGTTCATCGTTTAGCTTTCATATAATCTATCAAACTTCATAACATTTTAACAGAAGTGTTGACAAGACTGAGACTGGCATCGTCTTGCATGATTGTCCTCTTCGTTATATACCCAGTGTTTGCTGCAGTCATATAAATAGGAGGTGCGTTATCCTGGTTGTGCTGTTTTCATGGTCGGTAATCCTGCTGCTTTATGGAGGCCCAAATGGATGGATGTAAATCTGCCCCACGGTGCAGCAAGAGGCTAATAAGGCCCGATGGATGTTGCATTCAGAGAGAACTGTTTATCAAGGATGCACCTTTAAACCTCTGAAAGGGCTGCATGTAAGTTAAAAGTACTGCTTAAATCAGGGGTCTCAAAGTCAACTTACATGGAGGCTGCTGGAGATGGAGTCTGGGCCGCATCAAGTATTCAAAAAAAAGTACAACTGATCCAATCTTCTCAGTCTTTATTAATAACAATTCAGAACATGAAAGGTTCTTCAGAACATAGGGTTCTCCTTGGTACCAGAGACCTGGCAGCACTTCCTCTGAGCCACATTTGGCTTGATGGAGGAAGCATGAGACCCTCAGTATGGCTTGAAGATGCTCATCAGTAAGTTTGGACCTGTACTTTGACTTATTTAAGTTCATGGTGGAGAAGAGCTTTTCACACAGATAGAAAAAAGCAAAAAAAAAAAAATTAAAAACGCATGGGTGACAGGATATATTTTCCCTCCACTCGGTGACAGTCCTGAATCACGTTTTAAGTAACTAACGTTGCTAATTCGCGTTGCTGTCATGAGCCTGAGCTACGGTAGCCCACAAGTGATCAAAAATATAAAAAGCACAGGACAACAACTTGCATATGTGCAACAATAGGGGCAACTTGCGCAGGCTGCACTAACGCTAAACTTTGATGTCAAGTCGAGGGCCACAAAATATCATCCCGCGAGCCAATTGAGGCCCGTGGGCCGCGAGTTTGAGACCCCTGGTTTAAATGGAGTGCAGCTCGATATGGGCAAGTAAGCTGCTTTTTCTAAACAGTTGTTAATATTGTGGCAGTTTCCTTTTTGAATCATGAAGAGAGATAAGTCATAAATCCATGTCCTCCCTTCCAGTGGACTCCAAGTGTCAAACATTGTCTCCGCCGGTGTGAGATACAGCATAGAAACAGAAGGCATAACGCCCTATTTGGATAAAAACCTACTGACCTACTTCATTTTCTCTCGTGCACTTGATGCCACAGGCGGAATTCACACACAGTCTGATTCCTCTCCACATGAAAGTTTTCAGCTTGTATGGATTTACATCCTGACAAGGATGAGTGTGAGGAAGAAGGGAGGTGAATGAAAGCAGCCCTGCTGATGATGAGGAACATCTTTGCAGATATTCTACAGCCAACACAGACAAAAGACTCCCCCTCACCGAGCGCCATCATGCATTAACACTCTACACATGAATTATTCATTCATGCATCAACCAGACACACACACATGCTGACAAACTGAGCGCGTCAGTGCCGTGGGATGGGAGGAGTAGAGTCAACATTCAGGTCACAATCTCAGCACTCGACCTGGCAGGACACACGGACACAAGCTAGAATATTTCATACTAGTGGCTGCATTTAAGTTGCTGCAGCCAGGAAAAATAAACGAGTTATTCACAACCTGGAGGCGCACATGTGCTTTCTGTCTTTCATTAAAGAGCAAACTGCAGTTACGACCTCGCAGCTGCACGCGGCCGCCGACCAGGTTACAGTTTACATCTGTTCAGACTCCGAATATACAGATGAGTGACAAATTAAAGGAAAAAACGTGAATCCTTGACAATAAGGGGAATCTCTTATGCTGTGGGGGCATTTTGTTGACATGGTTTAGGTCAGGGGTGTCGACATCCGGTCCTCGAGGGCCGCAATCCTGCATGTTTTAGATGTTTCCTTCTTCCAACACACCTGATTCACATGATCAGGATCGTTTTCAGGCTTCTGCAGAGCTTGATGATGAGCTGATCATTTGAATCAGGTGTGTTGGAAAGAGGGAAACATCTAAAACATGCAGGATTGCGGCCCTCGAGGACCGCAGTTCGACACCCCTGGTTTAGGTCCACTTTTCCTCCAAGAGGGGTCACTACAAATCCATACAAACCTGCTCTAAGTGATCACCTCTATTAGATGATGAAACACTTGTGGTCTCTTCCAGGATGGGTGTCCAGATCCACAGGGCACGAGGGGGTCACTGACTTTGCAGATCTGAACCCAGTTGAACACCTATGGGATGTTTTGGACGGACATGTTAGCCAGCACTCTACCACCAAAACACCAAATGAAGGGAAGCATGGTGCTCATTCTTCCAGTAGAGTTCTAGCGACTTGAAGAATTAAAGCCAAAGCATGCTGAAGCTGTTCTGGTGGCACCTGGTGGCCCTGATGCAGACGCTTCATAACATTTCATAATGCCTACAGCCAGGGCCGTACAACATCAGCAGAGTCACACGTTACTGGAAAATATTTATTCAACGCCATCTGAAAATATATCTCTTTCAAGTTTCAAATAAATAAAAACTTAACGCCTTTAGCAACAGCAAAACTGAACAGGTATCATCACACCAATTAAAGCCATCATTGCCTTAACTTTTTTCTTTTTTTGTTGCTAAATTAACTCCTACAGCATCCTTCAACAGTTCTGTCCCAGCTCTAAATCATGCATCAGATGAAAACCACATGTAACAAGACGGGACATTGGCATTCACTGTTTCCTCTGCTCTTTGAACAAAAACATAACCTTCCTTTCAGTTATAAAATGATGCTCTGCTGCCAGAGGTGAACCACAAGTAATGGTATTCGTACTAACAAAAACACACTTGTGCAGAGCGAGATCTGAATCTTTTGAACGGAAATAAACTTTATCCTCCGACGTCCGTTTCACTGAGTTCAACCCGCAGTCCTTCCCATCATGTGGTGTACACATCCAGCTGGAATCTGGCCACAAGACTGAGATGGTCAGAGGGAAATATGTGATTGGGAAGTCCGTGCATCGACCACAAAACATCCTCAGACAGGAGAGAGAGACAGCCAATAAGTTTCAGACCTTCACTCGCAAACTGGTCGCCAGCTGGGGAAATAAAATAAAACATCATTTATTTAAAGCAACAAATAATTCATTCGGAGCTGCAACATTTCAGTTTCGCGGTCATGTCCTCATACCTTTTTCATCAGAGGTTAAGCTGCGTTTTGGGGAGTAGAAGATGTAGTCGACAGTATCTCCTGCTTCGGAGTGCAGAGTTGTAACTTCTCGATTGCCAGAGCCTGGGAGAATGTGTTTATAGACTGACTCCAGGTCTAGCCGATGACTAATACTGTGTCTGAACCTGCCAAACCAGGAGATTTATGGTTAATATATCACATTTCCACTTCAGTTTTACTCCAGCTTTTTTTGTACATTACACATTTACTCTTTGCGTGATTGGTACATTTCCAAACAACAGAATAAATATAAATATGGTTTATTATTGGAGTAAATATAGTGCTGATTACTGACTGTCTTTGCTGTTGTGACACTAAGTAATCAAAAGCATATAAAGACAAAAGCCTGCAGCTAAACTGACCTGTTCTCATAAGGCTGATTTCCCTTTGAAGCATCTGTGCACAAGAAGAAAAAACCCCAGAGATTTGAAACATTACATTGAGGAAACTGTTGTTTTAAACGGCACTAAGTGAAGCTGCGGATTGTGTGTTGTGTGTCTGTATCACCTGGTGTGTTGTCAGTCACCCCTGGAATCGAGTTCACGTACTGAGGACGGACGTACTGGCAGTTGTCAGTGATTCCCAGAGAGCTGGGCCACAGGGGGGCGAACAGCCTGTAACAACTGGCCCTGTGTGACAGATCCTCTTGACCTGATACCTGTTGCACGTGGTGAATACATACAAGGTTAAACGAAGGCAACCACAGTGGAAAACCTTAAATAAAAAGCTTAACGTGACTATTCGGAAGCAGTTAACATTAAGTAATTAGTAGAGATGCACGATACATCGGCGACCACATCAGCCGATATTAGTGTTTTTTTCATATATCGGTATCGGTCCGATGAACAAATTTAGCCGATGATCGTCTAACATAAGCACCTTCATCTCTACATTTGATATTGCTGCTATTTCACAGATGTTTTTACTTAAACCAGGGGTCTCGAACTCCGGTCCTCGAGGGCCGCAATCCTGCAAATTTTAGATGTTTCCCTCTTCCAACACACCTGATTCAAATGATCAGCTCATCATCAAGCTCTGCAGAAGCCTGACAACGATCCTGATCATTTGAATCAGGTGTGTTGGAAGAAGGAAACATCTAAAACTTGCAGGATTGCGGCCCTTGAGGACCGGAGTTCGAGACCCCTGACTTAAACGGTCCTGGACTTAAATATGTTTAAATATGTTTTACTTTTGTTCCATAATAAAGAAGACTATGTGGTCTAATTTGGGCTTCTTCTGAATAGTTTCTCACAGTGCTTACTCGTTATCGGCGATATCAGAAATCTTAATATCAGATAACGGTATCGGAAAGAAATTTTAATATCGTGCATCACTAGTAATCAGCTAATGTATGTCTCCCTCTCACCATCCACGCTGGCAGACCCTGGTAGTAGAGCTCGCCGGTGGTGATCAGCTGGTACAGAGGCATGTGTGGTACAGAGTTAAAGTCCCCGCACAATATAACGTTACAGTGTTCACCGTCGGCCTTACAGGACTTCACCACGCTGTCAATTTCTGCCAGCATCATTGCTAACTGAGCGAGCTTCACGTCGCCCCTCCTGGGGTTGAAGAGCAGGTGGGTGTTGGCCACGCAGAGGGGTGGGACCTTCTCCTTGACCCCCGACCCCTGGGAGAACACTGGCCGAAGCAGCAGCACAATGCCCACGTTGTGCCGGTCCAACAACTCTATCTCAGGCCTGAAGAACTCCAGCTCAGTGACAGCTACTTCAGAGAAGCAACTGCTACGATAGCAAGTGGCACAGCCATCTGTCTTGGTCCCAGTACGCCGCTTGTACACACAAGTGTAGCCTGTACAAACAACACAAACAGAATATGCGTGATGTCTTTGTCACAATATCCCAGAGCATAACTGTTTCTCTGGCGTGTCTCCGGTGACCTACCCATCTGAGACAGGACGGGAAGAAGCTGTTCATGGTAGTGGTTCTCCTGAACTTCTTGGAGACACAAAATCTACACATAAGAGGACACACACAAATCATCGTTGTACAATTAGACAGAAAATGTAGCTCACTTGAATTTCAGAAAATGGTGCATTTAACTCACATCTGGTGTCCATTTGTGTATTTCCCCCAGGAGCAGGCTGCAGCGGTAGTTCCAGTCCAGAACCTCCAGGGGGCAGTGTGTGTACAGTTCCTGGTTAAGCTCCAGCAGGTCCTGAGCAAGGATGTTGTAGGACATGACAGTGAAGTCCATCGAGGCCTTTCTCAGTGGGAAGGGTATCAGCGGAGGCTCTGCTGCAGTGGCCCTCTCATCCAACTCCTCCCATACTCTCCACATTACTAGATGGAGGGCAAACATACAAACACATGCATAGAGCTGGACATTAAACTCCTACTGAGTGCAGACAAACTTCACCGTCATAAAAATATTACGACTGAGAAAAATAATAAACCTAATGCTCACCTTCAAAGGGCATTGTTGGTTCCGCTGAAGGGTAGTAGCTCATGGCAGGAAGGTGCCATGGTGGGCACTGCACTTCTTCTGCAAGACCAGGACCTGCAGGGAAGTGCCAGGCTGCCTGTGCATCATCCTGTCTGCTGAGTTCCAGTTCGGTCTGAGTGTTGGAGAGAAGGGAGGCAAATAACAGCGTAGGCTCGCTTGCTCCATTGTGTGCTTCATCCACAGTGGGCTCTACATATTCATCCCAGCACTCAGTTTCTTCAGCTGGAGAATGTGACTTTTCCACGTTTGGTATTTGGATATTTTCCTGTGTGCTGATATCAGCTGTAGTTACAGACTCCTCTGAGGTTTGTATCTGTGTTTGCTTCTGTTCTGGACAGGTAGTTTCTTGTATGCTGTCATCCATTTGGAGGTACTTTAATTGTTCCACAAGTGTTTGCTCTGGACTGAAGTCCCCAGCTGAGGACATACTTCCATCCTCTATGTCTTGCTGACCATGCAGCACCTTATAGTGGATAGGCAGTTTCCCATCCTCCTTCTTGGGAGTGTCCACTTTCTCCTGCTGTGGTCCATGTCTCTTCTCTGTTTCCTTCTCCTGGACTTCACATTGCACCTCACACATCTCTAAAGCTGCATCATTCTTTGTGTTTTTATGCAGGACAGCCATCTGCAGTTCTTTGTCCATGTCAGGCCTTGCATCTTCTTCCTTTTCTGGGTTCGATTCTTCTAGCCTCTCTTTCATTTCTCCTTTCGAATCACTGGTTGCACTGACCCAGTGGTCCAGCGGAGCTGTCTCACTCCGTGTGAACTTCTTGGTTGTGACACCACCACCATCCCACACTGCTGAGCCGCTAACTTCTGCAGAAGGGAGATTCTTCTTTGTCTCTGAAAGACAAGACTATTGTAAGAAATTAGTCTTGCAGCCACACTATCCTGAAACATTTTAGTTAGAGACTGACTTTCCCAAAATAATGACAAGACAACCAGTGCCAAGTCCAGCATATCTATGGTAAAGTAGTAGTATTTCAAACAGCACTAGACCACAGGTTTCTCACACTGAAGACCAAGTAATCCATTTAAGTCCATTTATTTCCAGCAAAAACTGAACATTACACGTCCATGTTGTCCACAGGTAGAAAATCTGTGTGCTCCCACACCTGAAGCTCATTCAAAAAAACACAACAAGGATCTTATCTGTACCAAATGAAAGCATGTTTTTAGATTGCTTTATCAACTAAACGTTATCTTAAAGCAGTATTTATATTTTTAACGTTACATTTTACCTTTAACTTTTAACACAGGATTTTTTTTTAGATTTTTAACCAAAATAATATTTAAAGTTTTTAGCTTTTATACGTTTTTTTAGGTGTATATAGCTCTTACAGTATTATTAAGGGTAAGATTATATCTGACTAATTTACATAGTAGGCATTAACACCTGCAAAAATTCTATAAAGTACTACTTTAAATGAATATAATACATATTAAGAGAAGACCCTACAGTGGCATTAATTATGGAGAATAAACTCACTAATGCAATAATAAAGTTAGAACGTGAATTAGTATTTAACTTAAGCATTATGGATATTATCTTGGAGGTTGACTTGACACTTTTCATTTTAATTAAGTTAAAAGGAATTAAAGATATCCAGCATAATATCTTAAAAATTACACAGAATAGGATAAATTTATCTGTGTACATCTACAGTACATACCCACTCTAGCTATTAAACAGCATCTACAGAACAGAACATAAACACAAACCAGCCACGAGCACGCGGGGGCGCCCTGACGTCATAAGGGGGCGTCAAAAGCTCCCCAAACAGGTGCAAGCTAACAGCTAAAGTTAGCGAGTTTAACTGCGATAGCGCTACACGCTCTACCCTCCCCCTTTTTCCCTCAGCAGAAACTTGTAGTGTTAAAACCGCTCAGCTCGTGTCACACTGAGCCGATAAGGACACAAACTGAATCACCGACTTAAATTCGGCGACAACCAACACAAGTTAATAAAAGTGCTCAGTCAGCAGCGAACTAAATTTAGCCACCGTTTTGGTCCTGGCAGCTGGTCAGGGGACATGTTTACGTAGTTTTTCATATGGTTTCTCCACCAACGATTACAAGCTCAGACCCCTTTGAAACATGCGCTGTAGGATTTACCTGAGAGGTGGCCGGTCAGGTACCGTGAGAAAGGGGAGAGCACATAAAACAGCAAGCTTGCAATCATGTTTTCTTAGTTAAAAGTCACGCATGCGCACTCTGAAGTTAGTGGTCATGCGGGAGGTTAGAGGCAAAAAGTCAAAAGTCACTGGTTTCCTCATGGGGTTTTGTTAGTTTTTTTAATTTGTCTTAATCTGCTGGGGGGAAAAAATGAATCCTTAAAAAAAAAGGGAGATAAAAATGACTATACACATAATGTCACAAATGTTTACTCCAAACATGTCCCATGCAGTGTCTTAGTTTATTTACAGTGTTTTGCGTGGAGTTGCTAAAACACAGGATGGAATCTACACTAAGGCATACATTATTAATGACTCCACTCATGATACATTACCTGAGGGTTAGAATGACCCGCTGCACAGCACAGGCCTATTTCATTTCACAGCACCAACTCATACAGGACACATTCAAGTGGAGAAACAGAGCAAATGTCCCAGAGGCTGCACGTTCACTTTTGTATCTAGGAAATGGGTTCAAAAAGGGCATAAGTTTGGACAACAGAACGCGATGTCGATGCTTGCCTTTGAGTCCCTCTGCTTAAAAGATGACGACTGTCCATCCCCAACTCAACTCCAAGAGTCGGACGATGAGTTTGACATAGACCTGGAGTCAGACGGTGAGTATGTTAGAATAATTATTATTTACAACTGAAGCTGTTTGGCTTTCTGTGAAGCTGTGAGGTAAAAACGCAGTAGTTTTTTGTTGTTTTTTTAATGCAACTATATGGCACGTTTTGGCTGAGCATTACTGTAAATTCTATGCTTACAGCTTCATTATATTGTCAAGTGGTGCTCACATTGTGTGGCCTTACTCATATGCAGAACACGAAAGGAGCAACAAGGAGATGTCCTTAGCGGAAGTGTACATGCAGGCATGCAGACTGGTGGGTGTGGTGCCAGTCTCTTACTTTATTCGAAACCTGGACTCTCCAGCTATGATGCTGACCCACCACGGCCTGGGACCTTTGGGCTGCAAGGCACTGGCTATTGCTTTGGTGGTAAGTTTAAATGCAAGTGAGTGAGACTCATATGAATATGACATTTTAGCTGGGTTTGTCATATTCAGACAGATATGCATATCACCACTCTGGGACTGGGAGACAATCACATTCAAGCAGAGGGAGCTAAATATCTTCTGGAGATGTTGAGGGCGAATTTCACCGTCCAGCACCTGGTATGTAAAACTGCAAACTGACCACTGGAGGGCACAACCAGATCATAATATGAACTGGACTCGTCCACACGCCAATGACTTTTTTATTTTTTTGCTTTCAGGATTTGTCCAATAACCATCTGAAATCTGCTGGAGCAGAGTACGTGGCTAAAATGTTGCTGGACAACATTTCATTAAGATCTATCAAGCTTTCGGGTAATGTGCACACTAACAGCAGCGAGATGTGTTCGGACTGGTTCTGATTCTGCTCCTTGTATCCACGGTTGAAACAAACAGCTTTTGATGGTTTTCTGCATTAACCCGTGACAGTTAAAGGGCAGAAGATGATAAAACAAAACTGTTTCCTAACAGCACAATTAACAGTACAAATTAAAATAGTTTCCAGTTATCATCATGTTTGTTTTACTTATACAAAGGGTAATTATTTTTTTCCACTGCAGGTAATGGATTCACTGATGATGATGCTAAATACTTTTCAGATGCCTTGTCAGTAAGTTACCAGTGAACTAACCCCTGCTGTTTGTCATTTTATAATTTGGTTCTGTTTTGTTTCTTCCCAATAATAGTTCATTTACTAATAGCAGTTTCAATTGTGATGTAACTTTTACATTTAGACAAATCCCAGGATAAAGGAGCTGGACCTGAGCCATAATGAGTTTTGTGGAAGAGGAGGGGAGCATTTAGGACAACTGCTGGGTATGGTAAAAATCACTTACTGTCATGTTCAATATGCTCAAATTATTTTCTTTACTTAACGAGATAAATGTCATCCCATGAATACTGGTCACACTGCAGATGTTTCTTTCTTTCTGCAGCAAACAATGAAGGCCTGGAGGTGCTGGACCTCAGCTGGAATCATCTTCGAATGAAAGGGGCGGTGGCTTTTTGTGCTGGACTTAAGGTGTGGCTTCACAACAACATTCATTCATTTAATGACTTGTAATACATAATCCAGTCTTCCCTGTTTAGGTGAATATCATGGTAAAATACCTTGACCTGTCGTGGAACGGTTTTGGGAATGAGGGAGCCCTGGCCATGGGGGAGGCCCTAAAATTCAACAACACTCTGCTGCATCTCAACCTCAACAACAACCGTCTCACCAACGAGGGTGTCAGCATGCTCTGCAGGGGCCTGGAATTCAACGACACACTCCGAGTCCTGCTGGTGGGTGGAGCAGGTTGAATTAAGGTAACATACACCATGAGTGCGGCTCCAGACACGCTGTAAGGTGATGTTTTATTATCTCACTTCTGTAGCTGGCGTATAACTCTTTGACAGTAGAGGGAGCACTGGCCCTGGTCAACGTGGTGAAGAACACACCTAAAACCGCCTTGGAGGAGATCAACATATGTGTGAGTGGCTGCGGCGCCGTCTCACGTTACTGCTCTGATTGTCATGTCATGACATCTGGTCACAGGCTAGACCAATCATATTTGGTTTATCTGCTCAGTTTTGTGATTAAATTAACCAAGAAAAGATTGCATGCTTTATTTTTTTAAACACAATCCATGCTCTGAATTCTGTGCATCCCACATTGTGTTTTTTTTTTCTCCAAACAGAATGTGCTGGTAAATCAGAATTTTGTGCATCTATTGGAGGTGACGTGTCAGGAGCATCCTGGTTTGGATGTTCAGTACGGAGGGGTGGGAGGCTTTATTGCTAAGAAGCCACCGAAACGTGTTGATCCAATGAAAGTCATCCAGGTCTGTTTGATCACCTGATGAGAATAATTACTGACTTACTAGTTTTGTAAAGATTACATATAATCATTTGTTGTTGTTACTTGTATCTCATTACCCCTGAAGGATTATCTTGATCAACGCAAGCTGCGTCTGTGGGATTTCTTTCGGAACATTGACAAAGATGGCACCATGCGAGTCCCTGTTGCTGACTTCAGGAAGGCCGTTCAGGTTTCCAAACAATTTGATATATAGAGTCAGTGACCTCTGCAGAAAGCACTATGCTGATGAATTTCTGGCACGTTTTATTATGAAATTGTCCCATGCAATGAGAACATATACTGATTTTTGTTGTTGTTGTTGTTGTAAAAACTGCATTGTCACATTAATGGTTTTATTTTGCGGTATTAACTTGGCAATGATGTATCACAGCACAGAGTCTTAAATTTAACAGGAGGATGTATCACTCAAATGTTTAAAACAAACATATGGACACACTACCACAGAGCCTTTAACATTTAACAGTTATGTGAGAGACATAAATCTGTACAGTTTGTAGTTCAACTTGTATTTCAATCATCCATGATGAAAGAAGAAAATTTAAGGCTGATTCTTTTTGTGTGTGCGTGTCCCAGCAATCAAGCATTCCTTTGGATCGATACCAGATTGAGGAGCTGATTCAGAGACTTGATCGCGACCGGACAGGAATGGTGGATTACAGGTGAGTATTTTCCCTACTTTATGATTAGACTTTACACCTACATTATAACGGGGCTTTCAAAGTACTCTACAGAGTAGACGTGCGATGGCTTATCTCTGGATCATAAAGACTTATTAGATCCGGTTTTAGTGTTTATCACTCCTTCAGTGATGGTGTTTTAGTTAATAGATAGGAATTTGCCTCAATCTTTACCTTAAAAGACACCTTCAAGAATGATGCTTTAAAAGTGCACAGAGATGCATGCTGTAAATGTGTAACAGTAAAAGTACTCTGTCATAAATAAAAGTCCTGTATTGAAAGTATAATCAGGGAAATGGACTTAAAATGTATAAAAGTAAAAGTACGCATTGCAGAAAAATGTCCCCGGTGCCTGCTGATCTAATGCATACATAATTACATTACTAATAATGACGCATCAATATAAACGAAGGATTTTACGGGTGTAGGTGGAGATCATTTAAACAATTTTTTTCACAGCTAATAATGATTTTGATTCTGTTTTAATCGACTGATATTTTTCATAAAGTGATAAAAAGAGATATGAGTTCTATAAATGTGCATCAAAATAGTCGTCAGTTTTCTCTCAGTTGACGAGTTGATTAATTTGACTAATTAACACAGTCAATGTAATACACAAAGTTTAATTTTCCGGGTGCAACATTTCAATTTCCTGCCTAATATTTTAACTTTGTGTGCAATAGTTCATCATTATTATTGCCAGAACTCCTTTTCACTTTTCTATTCTAACCTTATTTTAGCTGACGTATTTTATTTCATTAATGTATAGAACGTATATCATATTGTTTTTCTATTAGGCATATTTTTCCCGCCATGTTATATTATTTAGTTTCTTCTGAGCGAAATCTGGCACAAGAGTTTACTTCAGGATCAATAAAGCTTCATCATGTCTTAATTGCTTCAGCTGTACCGACTATAAACTGTTGGGTAGTTTAAAATACAAAAAAAAAATCATACAGTAAAAAGATGTAGTGGAGTAGAAAATGGCATAAAAAGAAAAGTAGTGCAAGTACCTGAAATTGGCACCTAAGTAAATGTAGTTTAGTTACATTCCACCACTGCCGAGAAGCTCATGGTGTTATCTGACATTTCTGTGCAGGGGCCTGGCAGATACCAGGAAACAAATGATGAGAGATCACCGTCGCCAGCTGAAGAAGGTGGAGTCCCGTCAGAAGAAAGAGAAGCAGAAGAGCGACCGCATCCTGAAAACCTTCCAGAGCGCCGTGGAGGCGGTCACACCCCGCAGCTCCATGGTCATATCTCCCGGAGCTGCCAAAGAAGACTCAAGCGGCCCTCAACACTTCTCTGCCACCCCCCTCAGCTCCTGGCACCACATCGTCATGTCCAACAGCAGCCGCTACTCTGTCACCAACCTGAGCAACGAGCACGTCCACCTGCCCATGTTAGGAGGAACCACACCCTACCGGCCCACCAGTTCCCCGGCAATGCGCTCCTACTCCCAACCCAACCTGCTGGATGACTCCCCTCGCTTCACTCCGGGCAAGTCCATCTCTGCTCAGGGCGTTCGCTCCGATCCAGAGATGGGCCACAGCAAGCTGAGCCCCACCACTAACAGCCTGACCAGGTCCAGGCCTGCTCTGAATGCCAAGCAGCCAGCGGTTAAAGTCAAAACCAAGAAGGTGAAGAAAAAGAAGCAAAGGAAACGTGCAGATAAAGACTCCAAGAATCCTGCACAAACTGTCAAGTGATGTGAACTGTATGTAATGCTATATGAGCTATGCAATGCTGTTTTTTCCACCTGGTTTCTTTGTCGTACGCAGCTATTAAACAAAGAAGAAATGTCAGTATTTATCTTGTTCCTGATCTCCAAAACCACACAAAACGTGCTCAGCATATTCAGCTGTTTATTCTTTAAAGCAACACAGTCATCTCTCAGTCAGCGATTAATTCATCTTGCTAAAGAGCGAGATGAGCCATCTGCAGCAGCAAAATGTTTCATCATACCTGAGAACTCTGTCAGTCTTCGAATTCTGGTGCACACCCACACACTTATGGATCATTTCAAACAAACATCCTGGTATTTAGTACATGTTTGCTGAAGATATCCGTAAGTGTTGTATCTTGACATGTGCCTTGGCTAACAATGCTGTGAACCAGGACAGGTGCTGCATCTTGCAATATGTTGACACAGGCTATATAAGTCCTGGAGATCCAGCTATCTCAATCATAGTCACTCCGACTGCAGCAGAATGATCGGCACTCTGTATTTCTTCGTGCTGCTGAGCTCCACAGTGGCCTGGGGGGTATGTATGGCATGACTTAGATCGACTGATTCATCTTTATTCTTTGAAGCTCCAGCCGTATTAGAGGTAAGCTGATCTCTGCTCATCTGGTTCCTTTCCTCAGCGTGTTGGACTTTGGAGTGAGGGGAGTACAAGGAATGAGGCGGGAGTTGACGCCGGGGACGGGTGTTCCTGCGACGCCTTCCTGCCCAGTTCAACTTTTCCAATAGGAGATTTGGTGGCGGAAGAGCAGACAGCAGGGGAGCTCTCACACAAACTGGAGAAGGAGATGGACAAGGTAATCAGACCTATTGGAAGCAAGTGCAATAAATGATGATCTATTTGTGACAGGCCCAAAAAAAGTGTTGTTTTTTTTTTCTAACCTGATTTCAGCTGGAGGACTATGAAGCCAAGATGACAGAGTATGCAGAGAAGATTGTAAAGCTGACCACAGAAATTGAAAAAATGGAAAACAACCCTTATTCCTACAATGATGGCGACTTCCAAAACACAAACGTGGAGATTAAACAAGTGGAGGCTCTGATTGCAGAGCTGCAGCTCTCGATCGGAGGCTCCACCACGGTCTTCGAGTCCCTTCGTGTGCAGGTACGTCCTGAACTGTAGACATGTTGAAAGTCACCACGTCAACAGAAGCATTGGTAAACTAACGGCAAACCACGTGTCATCTCTCAGGTCACAGACATGGCGGCGACCCTGAATAGCTTGGAGAAAACCTACGACAAGAACCAGGTTCTGGCGACCCGCCGAGAATACATCAAGGTGCAGCTGCAACTGGAAGAGTGCCAAGGACGCGACCAGGGGATACGCCACCTTTTCAACTCCAACATTGGTAAGCGCATTCACACCGTTATGTACGTTGTAAGCTCCCCTTTCGTATTCATCTAACTCGTTGTCTTCTGTCTCTGCAGGCTCTTGTGCTCACACTGGTCTCATCAACCTCAGCCAGCCCATTGTCACCCATCTGAATGCCCAGCTCAGCCCCAGCTACAAATTTGGAGGATGGGGCAAAGACTCAAAGCCTCGTCCTGACAGAGAGTCTGTGTACTGGTTTTCTGGTTACACTAGTGAGACCATTGACGACATGAGGTTCTACACTAACTACAAGAACCTCATGCTGAGAAATGCTTTCCAGCACACCTCCCTAAAAAGTGGCTGGGCTGGTACAGGGAACAATTTCATCGTCCGTGACAATACTCTGTATTATCAGATCAACAGTCCGTTTGCGTTAGCCAAACTCAATTTCACCACCATGTCATATGAGTCCAGGGTGGTTCCTAAGGCTAGCAACACAATCTCTTATGCTAAGTCCCGCCATCAGAACTTTGACTTTGCTGCTGATGAAAACGGCTTGTGGGTGACTTACGCTACAGAGGAGTCCGACGGTCGGATGGTCGTTGCTAAAATAAACGAATTGTCTTTTGGCTTAGAGGAGGAGTGGCTGACTAGTGTTTCGAAACCAAGTGTGAGCAACGCCTTCATGATCTGTGGGGTTCTGTATGCAACCAGGTCCCTTGATAGCCATACTGAAGAGATATTTTACAAGTATGACACTAACACCAAGCAGGAAACGTACATCAGCATTCCCTTTGAGAGGTTCCAGGAGAAGTATTCCAACCTGGACTACAATCCTACTGACCAGAAGCTCTACATGTACAATGATGGTTACTACGTCAGCTACCAGCTTTGGTTTAACCACACAGCTACAGCTACTGTGCAGCCACCAGATGTTGTGAGCTAAATAATCTTCTGTGATTTATTAAAGTTTGCCATCGCATTCATGAAGCGATGATTGTCTCTAACTATTTTCTTGTCATTGACAAAATGAATCATTTGTCCTTGATTATTAATAAATGATTTCAAGCATTACAAATGTGTAGTTTGTTCTTATGTATTATTTTCTATTGACTGAGAATAAGAGTAGACATCCATCCATCCATCCATTATCTATACACCGCTTAATCCTCACTGGGGTCGCAGGAGGCTGGAGCCTATCCCAGCCGACTCAGAGTGAAGGCAGGGGACACCTGGACAAGTTGAGAATAAGAGTATGACTATTGAAAAAAATAAATAAAAATAAAAAATCTTGTAAAATGAATCAAATGAAAAGAGGCATCGTTCTGTATTCAGAGGGTGATGGAATGATCATCTGTAAAATCCTGTTTACTTTGAATTAAAACCATTTAACAAAAGGCAAAGTTCCTTCCACAACTAAATCAGCAGTTTTAGATTCTTAGATGACACTGAAATCGTGAGACTTGATCCGAAATATTAAACTGAATGATCAATGAATCAGTGTGTCTTGGATTTAGCTCTTTCTGTGCTTTTTACTTGAGAAAAAAAGATTCAAGAGATTCAAGATTCAAGAGATTCAAGCGTTTTATTGTCATATGCACAGCAAAACAGGTGGTTATACTACACAATGTAATTCTTATTCTGTTCAAAAAAAGGAAAGAATCAAACCATTTTTTTCAATGAAAGCCATTTTTTAAACAGTTGAGAGTCTAATCTGATAGATCTTTAGATATGTCACAGCAGGAAAAGTGCAATTAGAATTGATCTGGCATAAGAATCATATATATCATGAGAAAGTTCAATGCAATGACAATGATTGTGCACAATTTGATGAAAACTCTTCCATTCTCAATTCAATTAAATACAATACAATTTTATTTATATACCAGCAAACTGTACGATAAGTAATCTCTGGGCACTTACATAGAAAGGTCAAGACCCGACAGCTCCTCCTTGAGCAGACGCTTGGCGACAGTTGGGAGGAAAAACTCTGCTTTAACAGCATAACAACCCTCAATGGAAACAGACTCAGGAATTGCAGCCCTCTGATTTGATCAGTTGGGGTGATAGA